CCAGGCTGGTCTCAAACTCCTGACTTCAGGAGGGCATAGTGGCTCATGTCTGTAACTTTGGGAGGCCAAGGCATGAGGATCACTGGAGGCCAGGAGTTCAAGACCAGCCTGGACACCATAGCGAGACCCCATCACTACAAAAAATTTAAAAATTAGCCAGGCATCATGATATGTGTCTGTGGTCCTAGCTACTCGGGAGGCTGAGGCAGGAGGATGGCTTGAGCTCAGGAGGTCAAGGCTGCAGTAAACTGTGATCTTGCCACTGCACTCCCTGTGGGTGACAGCACAAGACCTTATTTTCCTTAAAGGAAAAAAAAAATGCTAAGAGTGGCTGGGTGAGGTGGCTCATGCCTATAATCCCAGCACTTTGGGAGGCTGAGGCGGGTGGATCACGAGGTCAGGAGTTCGAGACCATTCTCTACTAAAAATACAAAATTAGCTGGGCGTGGTGGCACATGCCTGTAGTCCCAGCTACTCGGGAGGCCGAGGCACGAGAATCGCTTGAACCCAGGGGGTGGAGGTTGCAGTGAGCCGAGATCACGCCACTGCACTCCAGCCTGGGCGACAAGAGCGAGACTCCGTCTCAAAAAGAAAAAACAAAATTAGCTGGGCGTGGTGGTGCGCACCTGTAATCCCGGCTACTTGAGAGGCTGAAGCAGGAGAATCACTTGAAAACCTGGGAGGCAGGGGTTGCAGTGAGCCAAGATGGTGCCATTGCACTCCAGCCTGGGCAATAGAGTGAGACTCCGTTTCGGGGAAAAAAAAAAAATCCGTAATCAGTCCATATTTCTGAATATTTTGCTTATTCCTACCGGCAGTGTAATACTCTGGTGAATATTTGCGTTCGAGATCCTTGCATTCCCGAGATTTCCCCAGCTCAGCCCTCTGGGCGGGTTGAACGGGATGACCCTTTTTAAGGCTTCTCTTGTACTGTCAAGCTGCTTTTTGGAATCTTCATCCCAGGTTTCTGTTCCAGCCAGCAGCCAGCATTAGCCGCCTGCATCCTGGTCCTCACGCCGGTGTTAATTAAAACCTTTGCCAATCTGGGCCGGGTGCGGTGGCTCACGCCTATAATCCCAGCACTTTGGGAGGACGAGGTGGGCGGATCACCTGAGGTCGGGAGTTTGAGACCAGCCTGACCAACATGGAGAAACTCCGTCTCTACTAAAAATACAAAAGTAGCCGGACGTGGGTGGCGCATGCCTGTAATCCTAGCTACTTGGGAGGCTGAGGCAGGAGAATAGCTTGAACCCGGGAGGCGGAGGTTGCAGTGAGCCGAGATCGCGCCATTGCAGTCGCGCCTGGGCGACAAGAGCAAAACTCCGTCTCAAAGACAACAACAACAAAAAATCCTTTGCCGATCTGGTAGAATTGCGGGGCTTATTTTATGGTGTCATGGAGCATAGCCTGGGGCCAGATATACCTGGGGCCCTGTGCTTGCGCTGCGAACTAGGAGCTCACTCTCCGAGCGGGGTAGAGGGTGAGACTAACCAGTGACAATAAAAGCGCTCGACAGTGCTTGACCCCTCCGCGGAGCTTATGAAGCAGGAGCTCCCTGCGCAGGCGCAGAGAAGAGGGTGCCGCCCCACCCCACGACCGGCAGGGGGCTTGCTAGGTGGGTGCGGAGCCAGGCCTCATGGTGGCCAATCGCGAGCTGAGGCGACGGTGGCACGCCCCTCATGCCGGCATCTTAAATGCGCAAAGAAAGGGCGCCAGGGACACCGGCCTGGGGTCTGCTTCTCCCCTCTAGGTTCCGATTCTCAACCCCTTGGGAGCGTTTGTGAGTGGAAGGGAGGTCACGCTATCGTCCGCGGCCGCAGCAGCCCCGTCCCTTCATTGGATCCCGCGGTGCGGCTCCTTTAAGAGCCTCGCAGGTCGCCCGCCGGAGGTCACTCCCCAGCCATGCAGGCGCTGCGGG